AGTAAAGTTTTCAATATAATCTATTTCGATAAATGTACAGTAAAATTAAAGCAGAGGTGAAGCTTTCCCTGTGTTTAATTAAGCATCACGCCATGAAGGCGTATGGGGAGTGGAGTTATAGCTCAACGCATTCTTGACCTCCGCACTAAGTGGAGGTGAATGATCAGTAGGGACCGGATGCAAATGCATATTTCTTTCTTGCAACCAGAAAGTATTCTCGTTTGGATATGAATTACTTCATTTCTCAAATTTTGGACATGGTTTGATGGTGCATATACTCGTAAATGCATATTTTGCCTGTTTTACGAATAAGCATCATATTTTCGAAGATCTCTATTTATACTGCATATTTCCTTTTTAAAATGTTTATCATATTGCCACGTGTTGGGTACGTCACGCGACAAATAACTTCACGCCGTTCTGAATATTCCACTCCCTCTTACAATCACACAATTTACAATCTCACAACTACTGCCATCGGCGGTATCACAATTACTTCTACTGCTTCCATTCACTCTGACGAATGATAGACTGCAACTGACTGGTTACTCTCTCTCACTGACGAATATTCCTGTTACGTAGCTTCCGCACTGACAACACAGAAAACAGTTACGTGATAGCTTTCACTGTTGCGTAAACGCCGTGTTTATAGGCATTGCTGGGGAACGCTGCCGAGAGTTGTTTATTGCTGCGTAATAACCGCGGTGTCACCTGTTACGTCACTGCGGGAAGTGCTGTTACGTCATCGCGGGGAGGGGGACGGAGTGTTGACTGTTATCTTAACAGAGGCAGTTGCTCCGATAATGTTACGTCACCGCTGTAAGGGGGGGTGTTTACCAAGCGTTGCGCCGTCCACATCACAATATATATTTTTTAATTGTATGTTCAAATTTTCAATCATGGTCGTGTGTATACAATTTTTCTTTTCCGTATTAGAATATGTTGCATATTTGACTCAACATTTCGTCATGATTCATGTTTCTGATGAAATACACAGGACGGGACTTCCCCGATCCCTCTACTCGTAACTTGCATCATCCGCGTACCATCAAAATGGCCACGAAGAGATTAGTCGGAAGCGTTCACATGTAGCCGCTATCAACGTAATACTCTTCAACCGATAAGGGACTTCACCTATTTATTTCCGAAGTCTCCATGAGGTTCGTTACGCTTCTTCATTTGAAGCTGGGGACCATTCACATTAGTGGTAACTAGTCTGTAGTTAAGTTTGTTTAGCTTTCTATAGTCATGCCGAAAGTGAAAGTAAGTCAGAAAACTAAATTACAGGTGTATCACCGGGAGTTCGAAGGAGAGATAATAAGGTACGGATAGCGAAATTCTTTATTGCCGAGCGTGTGAGAAATAGTTGGTTGTGAAAAACGCTTTCAATGCTTCAGCATTTGAACACTAATATACACAAAGAGAATATTAAAATTAAATCCACGAAAAGTGCTCCTGTTCAAAAATTGCTTAGTGAATTTTCTAATAATAGATTTTCACATTTTTCCTTTAATTTATGCGAAGCCTTTTTAGCGGTAGATATTCCGCTGTGGAAACTAACCAATCCTACTCTGAGAAACTTCATAGAGAAGTATACACAGTGCAAAGTGCCGGATGAATCTACTGTGCGCAGAAATTACGTGAAGCAGTGTTACGATCTTACAATTGAAAACATTAGAGATAAGATTCGAGATAATTTTGAGTGGGTATCAATCGACGAAACACAAGATTGTGAGGGATTGTTTATTGCAAATTGTATAGTTGGATCCCTTAATAAGAATGAACAATCTACCCCATGTCTTCTTGCGGTACAGCAATCTGAAACCACAAATAACTCCGCAGTTTCCGAATTTTTTTTTCAATTCTATTAATTTACTATGGCTGAATGGCATTCAGTATGAGCGCGTATTGCTCTTTGTGACTGATGCCGCAAGTTATATGATGAAAGCCGATACTGCTCTTAAAGTTATATTTCCAAATATGACACATTTGACTTGACTTGCCCATGGGTTGCACCGTGTTGCAGAAACAATTCGTCAAATTTTCCGCTTGTTGACAAGTTGGTGTCTTCTGTGAAGAAGATATTTGTTAAAGCGCCATACAGAAAAGAAGCCTTTAAAGCAATAGCACCGATCGTTCCACTTCCGCCAGAACCAATTTTAATGCGCTGGGGTACGTGGCTGTGTGCAGCGAGTTATTATACCGAACATTTGAAACAGTTATGAATGTAGTGAATACTGTAACGTGTTTAGTTACTGAAGACGCCGTTCGGCGTGCAGCATCAATTCAAATTGCCCAAGATGTACTAAAAACGCAGAACTAGAAACGAATCTTTCCTATATATCTGCTCACTTCTCTCGTCTTCCATCCGCCATTTCCTCATTGGACGCAAGCAATAGCAATACTACTTTGTATCAGTCGTTAAGTGTGTTCAAAACCACTGTTTCCAAATTGAATTCGGTTCCTGGAAGAGTTGGTGAAGTAGTAAAGGAAAAAGTACACAGCATTCTTTCAAAAAACATCCAAGATATGAACAAATTTGTGAAATTGAAGAAATTTTAGCCGGTAAACGTACTGAACTGCCAAGTAAAAAATCACTAACAGTGGAGCAAATAGCGGCTTTTGTACATGCGCCCCTAAGTTCCTGTGGGGTGGAAAGAAGTTTTTCCCGCTATAAGGACATCTTACGAGACAACAGGAGGCGACTAACTATGGAAAACATTTAGTAACTGTGAACTGCAACAGAAGAGAAGTTGAAATTTCGGAGAGCTAAATGTGAGTACCGTTGGTTTTTTAAATTTGTAATGAAATATGTTGGCTTTGTTGCATGATTTGTATTTAAGTATAGCTTTTTATTGCAAGTGAATCATTCAGTGATTACATAAAATGAACTTAAATATTGATTTGTTGGTCTTAAAATAATGTAAAATCAATTTTAATATT